GATGGAAGTGTACATCCTATTTCCATACATTTTAGAGCAGTCAGTATGAATTTGCACTTAGTGTTTTCAAAGCCTTATATTCTTTTGTACTAAGTTGCCCCCATTCCTCTATTAGGCCTCCCAAAGGGGCATCCTCTATTTTTGCATAGAGGAATCTTAAAATACTGGCACACGATTTAGCATCTTTCATTGTCTCAAATTTGTCTATGTTTTTAGAGAGGCAACATGCAAAACATTTTTTTTTAAATGGTTCTTTATTTGAAAAAAAATTATTGAGAACAAATTAATCATCATGATTATTTCTTTAATTGTCTCACCAGATTACACTGTTCAACAGGTAAAAAATTTTGGGCATAAAATTAGCTAATCTTACATAATTTTGGGGTGCTGAAAACGAAAATGACCCTAAAAAATGTTGATTGGCTCTAGTTTCCATGATATATTCACCCATCTAATGACGTAAGCCATTCAAAATTATGATGCAACTTCAGCTGCATATTGCGCAATTGATACTGGTGACCAATAGAAAATTGCATGTATACTGAGATGATGCAATATTAGCCTTTAATTGCATCACTTCACTGCATAAAAGCTGCAGTATCTGTAGCTGATTGTAGTTCGACAGCGTCTTTACATTTTGTTTTATGCTTATATAGGCTACTCAGTAATGCCTCGAACTTGTGTGAATAAAGCAGATAATTTCTGCTATATCTGCGGTGAAATAACTTTTATCTCACAAAAAAGGAGGATAACAGGAATGATTAAGAAAGCCTACAACTTGTATTTTGGCTGCAAGATAGGAGACCAGGACAAGAGCTGGGCACCACATATATGCTGCAATTCTTGTGGGACGGCACTGGAGCAATGGTTGAATGGAAAAAAAAGGCATCTATGCCTTTCGCTGTGCCAATGATTTGGAGAGAGCCAACAGATCATGTTAGTAATTGTTACTTTTGTATGGTGCCTCCAATTGTAAAAGGGCTAAATAAGAAGAAAAAGTTATCTGTGCACTATCCAAATATTCCATCGGCAATACGTCCAGTTCCTCGTGGAGAGGGGCTACCAATTCCTAAAGCACCAGAATCCTTCGTGGTTGAGTCAAGTGAGGAAGAACCTGAAGCGTGTAGTCACGTGCAGTTGTAAGAGATAGCCATTTCCTCGAATACAAGAGAAAAGCCAAGAGAAGCAAAACCGACACAAACTGAAAACAAAACTAGTAAGAATCCTAAGTATTAAAATGATTCAACTTAGCTTATGGCTATAATTTTTCTTGGTAATCCTATGCAATATATTATGCCATTTAGGTTTTGTTATGTAGTCAATATCACTTGCTTTATATTTGTGGAAAGACATCTATCTATATAATTATTGTGCATTATGTAGTCATTACGCCTATAGTAGAAAACTTTCCGTTTACAGAAAAACTAGAGCCAATTGACAAATTTCATTGTTATATTTGAACTCAGAATGTGAAATTCATTAAGAAATGGATCCTTTTGTTTCCAAAACTGGCAAAAAATAAAAATTTGTTGAACAGTGTTATCATCTTGATTTTTCTTGAATAAAAATGGTCTACGTTTCCTTTCTTAGAAATTGCTCTCAGAACAGAATTTTGTTTGTAAGTGTGTATTCCAAAATCTGCTCCATATGATGTATGGGTGTTAGGGAAACATTTGTCATAACATTTAGTGGCAGAGAAAAAGTTGATGATAAGAAACCCCAGGAAGGATGTGTACTTGAAGTGGACCATGTTGTGGAATTAGGAATTACTTCTGTGGGTTTTTCAAAGAGAATGTGCTACTGTGGTCATGCGACAAGTCTGAGATCCAGTCCAGTCAGGGATTCAGTTATATAGGGAGTCCTACGATTTTTGTAATATGTCTTTTTGAAAGTTTCAGATCCTGATATATCCCCAGCTGCACCCTTTGTAGGTGCTATTTTGCATATTTCAGAATCCATTACAGAAATATAAGTACCCAGCTCTACCTGTAATATGAGGTAGATTTACTAAAACTGGTGCACTCAGAATCTGGTGGAGCTGTGCATGATAGCCAATCAGCTTCTAATTTCAGTTTGTTCAATTAAGCTTTGGCAATAAAACATGATTGGATTCTCTGCAGAGCTGCACCAGATTCTGCACTCTCCAGTTTTAGTAAATAACCCCCTATATGCCTGTTAACCTTTCTAAAATGTCTAATAATTTTTCTCAGATAGTTCACTATCAGTAGTCTTCACAAAATTTTTAGAAGCAGAACAAAACAAACCAATGTTTCCAAAAGCGGTTATATTCAGAGCATGCCCTGGTGACAACTGTGCTGATGTCAACTCTCAGTCAACCTTGCAACCCCTCAAATGGCTGTTGTCATAACTAGTCACATGTGCAGCATCATGGCAATTGCAGATCAAACTGAGACTAAGATGGCACCTGTATTGGCTGTGAAGAACATCATGGTTTAATCCTGCTTGGAGTCATGTATCTTTTGAATATAAATCAGAGATTCCCTTAGATGCTCCAACTCATAAAAAGTGTTTGTATCTCTTTCTTTACTGAATTTAATTGTTGCATGTAAAAATCACGTAAAATAAGCAACATTTGTTTTCTGCATGATTCTTAATTACTTTCCCATCTGTTCTCATAAAGTTTAATTTATTTCAGATATGTTAGAAAATCTTTACATGCAAACCTTATGGGTAGATATTATACCTCATATATCTTTCAATAGAAAATTAGATATATATATATATATATATATATATTTTTTTTTTTTTTTTTTTTTTTTTTTCCCCTTCTTTCATGTGTGGCACATTTTTTCTATATTGACCTCATGATGGTCTGTCATGTTTTTGACCCCAAATAAAAAAAAATTGGTTAATTGAGTGTAAGACATATAGGCATGCGCTAATAGCTATGGTTTTTTATACTGGGGTTTCTTTGCTAAAGCTAGAGAGTGCAAAATCAGGCTCACTTCTGCATAGAAACCAGCCAGTTTCTAACCTCAGCTTGTTCAATTAAGCTTTAGCAATAAAAACTGGAAGCTGGTTGGTTTCTATGCAGAAGTGATCCTGATTTTGCACTCTCCAGCTTAAGCAAACAAACCCCATTGTTTTCTTTATATTGTTATACATTTTCATAGTATTTTTATAATGCTACAACATCATGGGGTTCAAATAATATTTTTTCTGTATAACCATTGTTTTTATTAGTGTTCCAGTTTGCCACACATTGAATTCCCACAAGGATTTGCAGCATTTACAGCAAAAGTCACCAGCGTTATCAAAATGCATGGGCAAGGTGACGTCATTGATTCAAGGTCATGATGACCTTGAAAAGGCTAGGCTAAAAACTGAAAGCATGTACTTTATTGATACTATGGCAAAAACATGTCACAAACACAACTGTTGCCATACAAGAGCCCCTTTTACCTAAATGTCCCTCCAACGCTCAGGATGGATATTTATTTTATGGATGACACATATGGCTGCCCTTTTCTCATTCAACAGAGGGTATTACATCAGGGAGGACCTTTATTAACCTATTAACTTTATTAAGAATGAGTCTTGTGATATTTACACCTGGAATAAAGTGATGCATGAGGCATATGGTGTGTGCAAGACATATATTTGGATTTGGGTGATGTACCACATGGCTGCTTTACAACCCATACAGAGCTTTATGAGAACATGTGAGATATTTATCCGACATTTACACCATCTTAAAGCACCACTGAAGCTAAATGATGTGGTGGTCATTACAGAGCAACTATTTAAGAAGTGAGTTTGCAGAACTTTATTGATGTCCTGCATTAACCTTTATACTTCAATGACTTGTTTGAACATATACACAGCTGCAAACATATAGCTATTATCATAATGGCTTGTAATTGATCCACATGACTATTATTTGGAGATTGACTCATGATATATGATACATGATATATGGCTAATATATCCAGTCCTAGAACAAAGTTCAGATTTCTATATTTACTCTATTGTTTGTTATACAATACACAAGGATTCCTTATATTCATTCATATTCTGGAACTGACACCTCCTTACATAGTGATTTGTCTCTGTTTTAGGGACTGACCTGCATTATACATTTATTACTCTTTGTAATCTAAACAAAAAGATAACTTTGAACTGTTTTAGGTGCTTTTTGGAGGCAAGGCCTCCAGACACAATTGGTGGAAAATTGCAATATACAGGTCCATATAGATTATACTCATAGATGCATGGGAAGTATCTACAGAGTGTATGCGTGTGTATATATATCTATATTGACAGATAGATAGATCTAGATATATATATATATAGATAGATATAGATCTACAGTGTGTATGTATATATATATATATATATATATATATATATCAGGGGTGGACTGACCATTTGGAAACTAGGGCACTGCTCAAGGGCCCGGGGTCAGTAAGGGGCCCAATGAGATGCCCCTGGTACCTTTTTCATAGGCTTTTTTGAGTTTCGGCAAGGACACAGGGGCCCCATGATCCCCTATTGCCCGGGGGCTCCATGAGTTGTCAGTCCGCCCCTGATATATATATATATATATATATATATATATATAGATATAGTAGTGGCTAGTTAGCCTACAAAAGAAATACATTTTTACTTATAATTTTAATATGACTTTGATACCTAAGGATTTTCAATATAAGATCCCATTTCAAAATGAGAATTGAAAATTAGTTGTCTTCCTGATAATAATGTTAATTGATTTCTAAATAATTAGTTGCTTTGAAGATAGAAACCTTACCTTCCATATATATGTATTAGTCTTGGTTTTAAGCCATAACATGCAGGGGTACAGGATTATGTAGAGATAAAAAAATGATGATATTTCAGCCGGGTTGCTGAATTTTAGCAACCTTGAACCAATGACCAAATTTACTTATCAGACAAACTAACAAACTATACTTATCAGACCTACATTAAACACTAAATATGGCTGGTAGAAAACAGACATAAAATACACATTTACTCACCATAGCATCCATAAAAGGGAAAGCTGCCAAATAAAGAAAAGCTTTCCGTGTTTTACTTCCCACGGACTCATCTACATGATGAAGCTTGTTGATAATATAGTATCCCAGGTCACTATATGCTGTGAAAACATTTCCAAAAATATTATTATAAATGACAGCGTGCAGGTAGATAAATCAGTTGACTGAATATGTAGTGTTTGTAATTGTGTAACACATGAATACTATTTTTTACCAGGTAATACTGTATATTACTGGTATTACATAAGTATACATACAAAAAAAAACACTTAAGGGAAACATAGCAAATCTTATAAGGCATTTCACAGTAAGCACTGCAAACATGCCATAGTATTGCACATAGCATGCATAATCACTTGACACTTAGAAACATGAGGACACAACATAAAAATGTAATAACCTTGTCAGTTTTTTTCTTATTTGTATCCCTAAGGCTTGGTTAACATCCGTGCCGGTGGTGCCTCTGCAGGACCCGCACAAATACCTGCAGCCGCACCACCCACACAGAGAAATGCAGGACCTGCAGGCAGGTGCCATCATTTCTAATGGCACACTGCCTGCACTCGAAATCGCAACCATACTAGCAACATCAGTTCCTGTGTGGGCTGCAATTTCCAAAGTAGTGCAGGGACTTCTTTCCTGCGTGTCCCAGGGCACAGGAGTCCATTCAAATGAATGGGCTCTCGTGCCTGCGCAAATTGCGACCCGCACGGTCGCACATATGTGAACCAGGAGTATTGGAGAGACTTACTTTCTTTACTTTCCTGATAACCACTGTCACTGGGACTGAAATTAGGAAAAATCTAAAATTTGTTGTCAGCAGAAAATAGAGGGGAGAAATCTTCCAAGAAAGGGAGCCTGCTATGATGATACATTTCTAAAAGAGGATTTACCTACCTTTGGAGCTATTTACTCTTCCTTTTGAGTCTGCCAGAATGGCAAAATATTTGAAATAGGACATATATAGCAAAACAAAATTACATTTGACCAGGATTTTTAACCATTTCATACTCCAAATTGAGATTTACTTAAAAAATGTAGATATATTTTAAATATAGCCCAAATCTTGTTTTAGATTTATAGGTAGTTATATATTGAGATGGTCCCTGAGAATGAATGAGGGAATGAGGGGAAATGTCCTCAGTAAGACCTCGGAAAGTTCTAAAATCAACATGAGTACAAAGCAAAGAATTTCAAGAGCACTACTGGTTCTGGGTTAAAGAGAGCGCACAACACAAGTACTGCATTACACTTTAACCACTTCAGCTCTCACAACTGTTTACCCCATAAGACCAGAACAGTTTTAGTATTTCTGGACCTGTCTATTCAGCAATAACTTTGCCAGTACTTAAGAGAACACAGTATTATATCTTGTTTTTTAAGGATATACAAATATTTCTTTTGTGATATTAGTTAGAAAAAAAGAGTAACAGAGGGAGAAGCAGCAGGAGTAGAAGTGGGTCATCGTGTCACCGTTCACCGTGATTGAAATTGAATCCACATCACTGGTTGACATGATTGAGGTTGGATGTGGGATTCTTCTTTAACCACTCCACTTCTTACACCTGTAACCCCTCATAGACCAAGATAACAAAGTAATGCGTATATTGTTTTTATAAGGACAAACAATGATTTATTTTCATGATACTGTCTTGCAAAAATATATTTTTTTAAAACGTATACATTTTATTTTGTAAATTGTCCAGTTTAAGATGACACTAAAATTATGATTCTGGCACAACACATTGCAGTTATTTAGAAAAGAAAAACTTTTCTGTTTTTTAATTTGCCCTTTTGAATGTTGCACTAAAAAAAACTTGTAGAACAAAACAAAAATGAAAAGTGTTAATGATTAATAAAGAAGAAATAAACAAAAAATCAACAGAAAATTAATAACTGAAGGGAGAAAGTGAAGACAGAGTTAATTAGGGCTAATTAGGGGGAACTAAGGAATATTAAAGGGATTAAATAAATACAAATTAACCGCTTGCCAAAAAGATCTTGATCGGCTGTGTCCCTGGCAGTATTGGCCATGGAAAAACACTGCATCGAAACTGGAAGTGAAAAAATTCACTTCTGGCTTTCATTTGCCACAGGAGATGGAGGAATGGCTGTTCGCCTCTGTGTGCAGCCGACCCAACTCTTTACAGTTGTCTCAAGCTCCCTGATGGAACAGCGGTGGGCAGAGATCCCTTTCAAACGCTGTAAAAGTGATCCTTTTACAGTAGATCCGATAGCCAGCTCAAAACAATGATACTGGGATCATGGCTGCAGCTGCATCCATCCATCTTAATATAACCGCTCCCTTCCGAGGCCAGGATCAGTTGCTTTAACTCATCCCTCTGATCTGCAGATGAATTAAACAGAGTGTTTGACAGCAGCAGCTGCTAGAGCTCCTGTATTCATTCAGAAACTCACAGCTTTGATTGTAAGAGAAAGGAATTGCCAGAAAGTGGAAGGGGTCGTGCAGCAGCAGGGCAGAAGGAATGGACGTTCTACTGTGTACTTTGATTACATTTTTGGGGCATGTGTAGCATGACCGCTGTCCTCAATGAGTTAAGGCATGGTGGTGTTTATTTACTAAACCTGGAGAGTGAAAAATCTGGTGCAGCTCTGCACAGAAACCAATCAATATTTTGATTGTGAAAGCCTAATTGAACAGCCTGAAGCTAGAAGCTGATTGGCTACCATGCACAGCTGCACAAGATTCTGAGTGGATCAGTTTTAGTAAATCTACCCCAGTGTCTTGTGTTAAAACTTTGGCCGGTCACTCCTGTGACTCATTTGCTGGTATATAAATTTCAGTCTGAAATATTAAGCTTTGTACACAACATTCATACAACAGTCGGTGATGAAAGAGAAAATGTGAAAAGGGGCCAATAGTTTTACCTTTGTGTTGTGAAAATATAAAATGTGCATTTATAAAATATTTGTTAAATTATTTTTTTAGTTATGTGCAAACGACTTTTTTTCCCTGTAATATAATGTAGATATTTTTTAAATAAATCACACATGCACTAATATTTACTTTCATCTATAATCTAAATATAGCAGAACAAAAGTATATACCTATGAGTGTATGAAAGACTGCTGCCACAATACCGGCTACAACCATACACAGTACGGCTTTCATTCGGTCCCTTTTACTGTTCACAAACACCAGTCCCACATTCTTGAAGTCACTCATGGGACCGGTGAAAAACTTCATCAGGGAGTATGCCAGGCCGTAGCTGGCAAGCATCTCGATGGCATCTTCTTTGACGGCAGCTATACCCCGGTTTAAGGCCTGTGGATGAATATAAACAAAGTAACAGTTAGAATAAAGTGCATGTTATTTTGTCAGTCATTGGCAGTTATGAAAATCTCTAGATACTTTTACAATATATACATCCTGTATTATAATAATAATAACAATAGGGAAATGCATGCAAACAAACTCTACACTGATACGCTGACTTTAAGACAATAGGCATAATAAATCTCTAACACACCAGAAAAAGGATACTTATTTTCAAAAAATTGACAGTTATTTTCAGATAATGAAAATAACAGTCACATGGCTACAATAACTGTCCTTATCCTTGTGTTATGGCTTACTATAGTATGTTTTCCAACTAGGCAGTTATAAGCCTTTGTTTATTAAAAAAGAATAAATATAATGATTTTCCTTCCCAGGCTGCCTGATCAATGGCCAACTTTCCTCCACAACATTATGTTTCATTTTAATTGCAGAATTCGTTGGATTAAAATGGTAATGTAGATTATCATCAGGACCCAGCAGAAGGTAAGAACGAATGGGAATCACCATTGTTTTTTCCATACTTGCATTGTATATGTGTTGTTAATTCTTACTTAATACAAAATTCCAAGTCATATCCTGCTTATATATATTTATGCACTGGATTGAAAACTTGCTGCGTTCACTTATATTAATATTCTATGTAGCGGTACACTCATGTGGGCCAGCAGTTATTATCCGTAGATTGCCCAAAGATTGCCCCGAAGCCAGGCACACAAACACAGTCACTCTTTTGCTCAGTAAACAGTCCAGGGGTTTTTTTTTATGTTTTTATTTTTAGGAGTGGCTTGGATAGGGATTGGGGATGAGTGAGATGCTCCAAAAAGAACTAAGTACACGGTGAGGACACTAACTTTCTTCTGCAGCAGTTTAAAGAAGAACTTCACTCTCTCAATCGACATTGACTATTATTAATCCTTATGCTCCTAGCATTAGTAAATAGGAAGGTATATTTTATTGTTTTAAACTTTGTTTTACAGTTCTTCAGTTACTTCCTGGTTTCCATGCCAAAGCAAATGATGTCATACATTTCAGCAGTCTTCAGGAGGGGAGGGAGGGTTCTCAAATCAGCCTATACCTGAGCTAAGGGCAGATAGATTCCAAGAAGTAAATACTACATGAATCATCTGCCCTTATTCAAGATGGACACTGCTGGAAATGCCAGGGGATGTTTTCAAAGTTATTTCTTTATTAACCGCATCCCAACCGCCCTATAGCAGAAATACTGCTACAGGGCGGCACGGGTACGTATTTCCGGGTAGCGGGCGCACATGGGCCGCATGCATGCCCTACCTGTGCCACTATGCGCAGTCTCCGCTGTCAATCACCAGGTCCCAGCCTATGATTACTCACCGGCACCCGGAGATTACCAAGGACTGTTTTGTTTACTAACAGTTATCCTCCCTGTCAGCTGGGGCACACTGCTTTAAATGGCAGTGCACAGCTTCCAAAGCAGTGTGCTTGCAGTGAATCACACTGACACGTCCCCTATGTAAAACATTCCCAGCACACAGTTAACCCTTTGATCACCCCTCATGTTAACCTCTTTCTGCCCAGTGCCATTAGTACAGTGTCAGTGGTTTTTTTTCAGCACTGATCACTGTATTGATGTCACTGGAGATGTCAGTGACACCAAGTCAGTTCCCCCCAGAGTCAGAATGTCCACCGCAGTCCCGCTATAAGTTGCTGATCACCACCATTACTAGTGAAAATAAAAAAAATTGTAAATGCAATAACTTTCACGTAAACCAATTAATTTACACGTACTGGGATTTTTTTTTAGCAAAGACATGTAGCAGAATACATTTTGGCCTATGACGAAATTTGATTTTAAACATTTTTTCACTTGACATGTTTAACCTCCCTGGCAGTATTCCCAAGCGTAGCTCGGGGTAAAGTTTCAGTACCAAAAGCGGTAACCCCGAGCTACACTCGGGCTTACCATGCAGAGTTGCTGAGGGATCCCCTGCAGCGCTTACCTTGTCCCTCGAAAATTTTAAAAACTGACATTCACTAATACACTAAAATCGCATAGTAAAACATTACTGTTTCAAAGCATTTCACATACATTTTGTCCCTAGTGCTTTGTTCTGTGCCCTGCCTACATTTTTACTGTTCTTTCTGCCTGGAAACTGAGAAAAGTCCATGGCGTCCAAAAAGCATCCCTTTAGGTCAAAATTGGTTTAAGACCAGCTAGAGAACAGCGATAGTAAATCAGAACCACTTACAGAATTGAATGATAATGATTCGTGGGAAAATTCATCATCAGACACTGAAAACAATTCTGCGACTTTGCTCAGTGATGTGCGAACTTGGTGCTATATTTCAAATTTCAGTGTTTTTGGTTTGATTACATTATTGAATTAAATGTATTATGATTATATTTAGAGATGAGCGAATTATTCAAAAATTCGATTCGGCTGATTCGCCGAATTTGCGGAATAAATTTGATTCGATGCGAATTTATTCGCTGCGAATTTAACTTATTAAAAGGGTTTCTAGGCTTCAGAGAGCCTTTATATTAGTGCAGAACACTGTACCTTTAATTTAAATGCCCTTGGAGTCTGCTGGGGAAGAGAAATAATACTGTCAGTCAGTATGACATGCAGATGAGTGCCGTCGATCTTAGAATCACCGCACACTTCACTCATTTGGGCAGTCACGGGGCACGACGAAGAAGATGAAGAAGAAGAAGAAGATGAAGAAGAAGATGAAGATGAAGAAGATGAAGAAGATGAAGAAGAAGATGATGAAGAAGATGATGATGAAGAAGATGATGAAGAAGAAGATGATGAAGAAGGAAGAAATGAAGAAGAAGAAGAAGAAGAAGAAGAGGATGAGGAAGAAGAAGAAGAAGAAGAGGATGAGGATGAAGAAGAAGAAGAAGACGAGGATGAGAAGAAGAAGAAGAAGATGATGATGAAGAAGATGATGAAGAAGAAGAAGATGAAGAAAGAAGATGATGAAGAAGAAGATGATGAAGAAGAAGAAGAAGAAGATGAGGATGAAGAAGAAGAAGAAGATGAAGAAGAAGATGATGATGAAGAAGATGATGAAGAAGAAGAAGATGATGAAGAAGATGATGAAGAAGAAGAAGAAGAAGAAGAAGAAGAAGAAGAAGAAGAGGATGAGGATGATGAAGAAGAAGAAGAAGAAGAAGAAGAAGAGGATGAAGAAGAAGAAGATGAGGATGAAGAAGAAGATGAGGATGAAGAAGAATAAGAAGAAGAAGAAGAAGAGGATGAGGATGAAGAAGAAGAAGAAGAAGAAGAAGAAGATGAGGATGAAGAAGAAGAAGATGAGGATGAAGAAGAAGAAGAAGAAGATGAGGATGAAGAAGAAGAAGAAGAAGAAGATGAAGAAGAAGAAGATGAGGATGAAGAAGAAGAAGAAGATGAGGATGAAGAAGAAGAAGATGAGGAGAAGAAGATGAGGAAGAAGATGAGGGAAGAAGAAGAAGAAGATGAGGATGAAGAAGAAGAAGAAGATGAGGAAGAAGAAGAAGATGAGGATGAAGAAGAAGAAGAAGAAGAAGATGAAGATGAGGATGAAGAAGAAGAAGAAGAAGAAGAAGAAGAAGAAGAAGAGATGAAGAAGAAGAAGAAGAGGATGAGGATGAAGAAGAAGAAGAGGATGAAGAAGAAGAAGAAGAAGATGAGGATGAAGAAGAAGAAAGAAGAGGATGAGGAGAAGAAGAAGAAGAAGATGAAGAAGAAGAAGATGAGGATGAAGAAGAAGAAGATGAGGATGATGAAGCAGAAGAAGAAGAAGAAGAAGAAGAAGAAGAAGAAGATGAAGAAGAAGAAGATGAGGAAGAAGAAGAAGAAGATGAGGAAGAAGAAGAAGATGAGGATGAAGAAGAAGAAGAAGATGAGGATGATGAAGCAGAAGAAGAAGAAGAAGAAGAAGAAGAAGATGAAGAAGAAGAAGAAGAAGATGAAGAAGAAGAAGAAGATGAGGATGATGAAGAAGAAGAAGATGAGGATGAAGAAGAAGAAGAAGATGAGGATGAAGAAGAAGAAGATGAGAAGAAGAAGAAAGAGGATGAGGATGAAGAAGAAGAAGAAGAAGAAAAAGAAGAAGATGAGGATGAAGAAGAAGAGGATGAGGATGAAGAAGAAGATGAAGATGAGGATGAAGAAGAAGAAGAAGAAGAAGAGAATGAGGATGAAGAAGAGGATGAGGATGAAGAAGAAGAAGAAGAAGAGGATGAGGATGAAGAAGAAGAAGAAGAGGATGAGGATGAAGAAGAAGAAGAAGAGGATGAGGATGAGGATGAAGAAGAAGAAGAAGAAGTAGGATGAAAATAAGAAGAATTCCAGTACAGCAAAAAGTGTCACTGCAGAGAGCTCCGCTATTTCTGACAGTTCTCTGACAGTTCCTTCACATTTACAGCGGTTGAAACATTGTATCTATTTGTTTCCGAATAAAAACATCTGTATCCTAAATGGAAACAAATAGATACAATGTTTCAACCGCTGTAAATGTGAAGGAACTGTCAGAGAACTGTCAGAAATAGCGGAGCTCTCTGCAGGGACACTTTTTGCCGGCTGTAGAAGGGATGAAAATCGGCCGATCGGGAAAAATTTGATTCGTGCATCCGAAGTTTGCTAATTTTCGGATTCGGTGCGAATCGAATTTTTCCTAATATTCGAAACGAATTCCACTTCGCCAAGTTCGATTCGCTCATCTCTAATTATATTATTATTTTTTATGATTATTTATTATATTATCATTTATGATTTCGTGTTTCAAGTTTTTTCATACCCGGGATGTTTACTAGACTCTTGTTCGGACAGATTTCAGTGAGTTATTCCTAAAAATTACAGGGCTACAATAAAAAAAATACATATATCCATGCAAAAAAATGTACCGCTTTCAGCACAGAAATATGGACATAATCATAACCGCTAGGGAGGTTAATAGCAAAAAGTCAAAAAATATTGTTTTTCTCAAAATTGTCAGTTTTTGTTTTTGATAGCACAAAAAAT